GCTGACTGAAAGCGCTTTATAAATTAAGTTGAGTTTAGTTGAGTTGAGATTACGGTTAACATAGCTAAATCAGCGTTTGCTGACAGTCTAGTCTCTGGTGGTAGGATTTCCAGCAATTTCTAAGCCGAATGCCTTTACTGACACAATCCTTGTATTTATGCGGGCTTTGGGACCAGCGTCAACAGGAAAAAGAGCCCGATTTGAGCAGGCTGTTCCGCTCATTTGAGGCTATGTTGCAGCCACCTGGGGAGTTTCTGACTTTCCCAAAGACACCTCAACATGTAGCCTGGGATTGAACCAGCAACCCACTGATAGGCAGGCCTAAGGGCTCTTACCCGAGGCAGATGGCCGCCCACCCTGTGCCATGGTTCTGCTCGAGGTTTCTGCCTGTTTAAAGGAAGTTTTTCCTTGCCTGTGTCGCCTAGTGCTTGCTCATGGTAGGAATTGTTGGGTTTCTGTAATTATCTTCAGAGTAGGGTCTGACCTGCTCTGTTTGGAAAGCTGTGAGACAACTGTTGTTGTGATGTGGTGCTATATAAATACAATTTAATTTGATTTAATTACCCCTGTGTAGCCTACTGTGTACAGCTCACATAGTAGGTGCTCAGTGTGTGGCCTTTACAAGTATCTGTGGGTTTCCGTGGATTAAAATGGAATTTACTGCTTCATCTTTACTCCTATCATCACCTATGGTCACAGATCTGGGCAATGAGGCAGTGTATTCACGCAGATAAAAGCTAAAATAATTTTTCTTCATGGCTCAGCCGTCCAGAGGGAGATCGGAGTGAGCAACATGTGGTTCAGGAATCTGCTCGGGATGCTTCAGGACCACCTTCCTTTGTAGATTCCTCCAGGCACAGCCAACTGGGTGGAGGCAAGACCCAGAAATTGCTGGTGGGAGTCAATGCCCGCCTTTTATTTTTGGGAAACATCCGGATCCCCCGTTAGGGGCTGTAGAGTCCCATCAGGGTTTTTCTCCTGAACCTGCTAGCTTAGCATCAAAAGCTCAGATAAACGGAAGAAAATGAATGGATGGATGGATGATCTGGGATTTGGAGGCATGAATTGTGATTAAATAGCTGACCTTTAAAAAAAAAAACACCATTAAATCTACATTTCTGGCCCAACAGGAGGCAGTAACAAACCCTTAGAGGATTTGCTAGATGCATAGAATAAATAAGTGAAGTCCTCAGAGAAGAAAGTTTGGTGAACAGTGTTGGGATATGAGACATATGGCGTAAGACTTTGGTCAAATGTGGGAGCAAACACAAAAATCCACACACAGGTTACATAATTGACACCCACCATGCAGGAGCAACGTTAATACCTGACCACAAATGTCAATTGGTGGTAAATTAACTTGAGTTTGAACTTTTGGGGTTGGAGACATTGGACATTACCAACATCCCTGCACATGTACTTTAGCTACATCATCTATAGCCAACATAAAAAGAATAATATTAGAATAATAATAGTATAATAATAGAATAATAATAATAGAATAATAACTGAAACAAGTTAAAAGAATAACACATTTTTAATTAAACTCCCCTATGTGATTTTGCACATAGGGGCAACACAGCCCACTATTGGGGAATGTTTCTAAATTCTTAAAACTTACATGAATATTGAAAGTAATATGAGGTCACAACTTTGCTGATCTTCACCTATAGTGACACACACACACACACACACACACACACACACAGACACACACACATGCATGTGTGTGTGTCTGTAAAGCATTACCCTATGACATCACAGCCCCCTGACACTGGATAGGTCTTCAAAAATAATCAGTTGCTTTAGGGATCCAATCACACGGGCGAACAATTCAGCACAAATAGATTTGGAGTTTGCAGCTTTGGGTTGAACTGCTGCTCTCTTATATTTCATATTTAGCAAATAACATTTTGACAGCATTCCGTTGCAAAAAAATAATTAATCTAAACTCAAACTTAACCTCTAGGTAGCTTTATTGCAACACGATTTAGAGGGGCTGGGTAGCATATCAAGAATTTCTGACATCATAAAGTCCGTACATAAGTGATATGCTACTTTAAACGTTGGTGGTGCTACAGAAACCTCCACCCTGTTCTCAACCCCCAAAGCTCCTCCCTCCTGAACTCGCAGCCTGCTTGTCACATGAGATGCTCATTCCTCCTTTTAAGGCTTTGGTAGTTTTGGTATTTGGAGTGCCTTCAGGATGCAGGTTCAAAAGAGGAAACATTAATAATAGCTTCGCAATAAAAGAATACAAGCCGCTCAATAATAGCTTAACGTGTGAAAGAGGGACTCTTTTGCTGAAGTTTGGAGGCTTTGTATAAGCACGTCAACATGCCAGTTAGATAAAAAATTTAAAAAACTGTGACTTGCGAGTGGCAGAACTTACCAGGTATAAACTTGTTGCTAGCGTTCAAAGGCAGCCCGGCAGGTTCCCCTTTGAAAAAGTGAGAGAGAAGACTGATTGTGCTTATCGAACTCGGCAAGACAGCTTTTAATCCAGAGATCTACACAACCCTGAAGGTCACGGCTGAAATAGAAATCTAGGCTCCTCATTAGCTCACCAATAAGGAACCTACAAACGATGTACCAGAAGGTGTTTCCTGACCCCAGGGTGGAAAAACAGCGCGAGGCTAACGCTTAGCTCGTTCCCACTGGTGCCGAGGACCAGAAAAATGTACCCATACATCGGCCATTTGGCTGCAGAGGCCTGGGGGGGGGGGGGGGGCTTTGCATTCAGCAAGCAGCTGCAGCCCAAAGCCCGGAAACACCTCCAAACCTGCTTTTCCCCGGGAATAAAAGGCGTAGCGTTACGAGGCGTTATTTACCTGTGCGAGCGCTGATTAAGGGGGTCGGCCGGCCGGCTGCTGCCTGCTCGTCCCTGCCCGGAGTGCCAGAAACGGCAGGTTCATGCGGAGCCCAACTCAGCCCCCCTTCCTGCAAATGGCGGGGACAGACTCCATGGCAGTCCAAAAATAAATCCTGAGCCCCCTCGTCGACAGCAGTAGCACCGTTGGAACAACAGAGCGAGGAGAGCCCAGATGTAGCACCAAACAGGCCAACACAGGAGGGTCTGGAGACCCCAGAGCTCCAAAACGGGGTCTTATTTATTTATTTATTTATTTATTTATTTATTTATTTATTTAATCAGGACAGTGCACATTAATGAACAATCTCATACAGATTGTAAATTAGCCAGATTATAGCATACTTGCTAGTTTACATCTGTCGTCCTGAGGCAGGAAGATCAAACAACACAAAATCTCAAAATACAAAATCAGTCCAAACACACGTTCAGACAATGACATTACAAAATTAATTAATTAAATTAAATTAAATTTTATTTATATAGCGCCACATCACAACAACAGTTGTCTCACAGCGCTTTCCAAACAGAGCAGATCAGACCCTACTCTGAAGTTAACTACAGAAACCCAACAATTCCCACCATGAGCAAGCACTAGGCGACACAGGCAAGGAAAAACTTCCTTTTAACAGGCAGAAACCTGGAGCAGAACCATGGCTCAGGGTGGGCGGCCATCTGCCTCGGCCGGTTGGGGGTGAGAGAGAGAGAGGGAAAGAGAGAGAGAGAGAGAGGCAGCCAACACAGCAACACGTAGACTAGATGAAAAATGGCAATGATATTAATATTAATGATTATGGTAGAAGTTATGACGGCAACATAGCAGGAACACGGGGGCAGCAGGAAAATCCCAACCACAGATCCAGGCCCCACAGCTCCACGAACTTTTTAGAAACAGTTTAAGGTGCTTTTTTCCAGGGGTCCCGGAAGGGTTCAGGGTGTACCTGGTCAAATGATGGAGGGTTTGTATAACTTGACTCTTTTGAGATCCTGGATTTACTGTGAGACTTTGTTGGTGTGTTGTCTGGAGGGGAAATTGCATCTTTGTGGCCGTTGTAGGTGGAATGCAACCAGACCCAAGTTGATAATTGTGAGTTTAAAACCCTGCAAATATACAGACATTTAGTGGACATTTCCATCAATACTGAACTTTCTCTGAGATACAGACGATGGCAAATATATTAATTCCTCGGAAGGTTGTTGAGAAAAAGTCTTTATTCCAAACGCGCATTTAATGTGAAACAAAAAACCTTATTTATGTCTGTCAGAAAGACCGGTCAGTTCAGATGAACTCCAGTTTAAATATGTGATTGCAGCGCCCTCTAGAGGAAACTGCCATCTCACTCACCGGTTCCAAATCCAGACCAGGAATTTGGTGGTTGAAGAGATTACAGGATGGATGTAGCTTGTTTAGACTTTACAGGTGAAAGAAAAACAAATTCTGGCATATTTTAAAGGCTCTGTTCAGTATTTGTCTTACAGTAATAAACTTTATTAATCGTAAGTCACTGCAAGATAAGAAGTTTATTGTGTTAATAGAATACAACATGAACAGGGAATATATTTTTCTTTTTTCTTTTTTCTCTTTTTTCCCTTTTTCCCTTTTTTTCTCCATTTTGTCCCCCTTTTTTCCCCCTTTTTTCCCCCTTTTTTATTTTAATAAATCAATCTAAAGTAAGAGTGCTCCAGTAAGAGATTAATCAGCTTTCTTAGGACTGCTTAGCTCCACTTTTACATCACTTTGCTCATTGTATATTTATAGTCCTGGATTTAAGTTTTTTTTGCCGTTAAATGTTTTTTTTCTTCCTATATCGATATTGTAGCTGGCACAATACTCCTCTGTTGATAAAACAGGATGTCTGTTCGAATCCACTGTTAGCTTTAAATATGTTGAGAAGCTCAAATTAATCTTACACTTCAGGATTTGTTTCTCTTTATCTAACCGATTCTTGCTAGTCAATATCTTAAGACGAGGCCGAACTTGTCGGTCCTCTGTGGAGACTCCCAGACCGTGTGTTTATGTTTTTCCCAGACTTCTGTGAGAGGTCTGAAGCACCACCTGCCACTCTTCCCTGACGTCCAACACTCATCTCCCTCTCCGCTGAAATGTGCTTGCCTAATGTAGCGGCCCCAGAATAGCACCCTGTGGGCACCCTGGCCGTCGCTCTCACCAAACTTGAACCTCCCTCCTCAGCCCCGGACCCTTCCATCTCCTTATCGAGTGGCTTCTCGGGGAGGAGGGGGGGGCCCCGAAGACGTGGATCCTCACCTCCGAAACGGCCCCCTCCAGCCAATGGGGAGGCGGTCCGGATCGGGTTTCACTATAACAGAAGGACATAATCTGCGTGGTAAGCTCGCAGAACCTTACAGCCTGTCTTGGCCAGCCGGGAGCTCGCTTCATTCAGCTTTTTCTGAGGTAAGGTGGGAAAAAGGGGGGAAAGAGAATGAGAGTGAGAATGGGAGAAAGTAAGATCAAACGCATGGGCCCTATGCATCATCAAAACCGGGGCATTCACACGTTACAATCACTACCACTGTTTGGAGAGGGTACCCAGGAGAAGAGGGATGGGAGAAAGATCCATGTTCAGAAAGGCCTCTTTTAGAAGGAGGCTCCTCAAAAGTGAGATGTTAGATGTTTAAGCTCTGTGGTTGGAGATGTTTGACTCCGGAAGATTACATTTGGAGCTGATATGCGATGAGATTTTGGGATCGGGATGTAGAAATATCCATCTCGATCTGTGATGTCTTTTTCAGAATTGTAAGATAGCGAAGTCCTCCATTAATGTGGAACTTCAGATAAGTTTTTTGGGTTTCCAGGCTGAGAGGCGGTTTGACACTGTTGTTGTTTCTGTCTTGGCTTGGTCTGAGTCCAGTTATGTCATGAGGCTCCATAGCTTTGGGATTTACAGATGGCTCAAAGCCCTTTCGAGCAGCTTCCCGCCCTATGGGGGATCATACAAATGATTGGTGTGACAGTGGCGATAAACTCTGTGGTTGTTTCTGTCGTTCAAGGCTGCTAAACTGGTCTTTTCGAGTCCCATTTTCTTTGTCTAAGCACAGGGTTGGTGTTTGAGACATCTGCTGAGGAAGCTGTAAATTGGGAAGGCACGCATGTACAGTAAAGCTGACAGAGCTCGGGGATAAACAAATCTTGAACAGAACCCAAGTAACCCAAGACTGGATGCAAACGAAAGAGCTAAATGGGGACATTTCTCATTATTATGACATCACGATCTGAACACAGACTTTGGACTTTATGGATTAAAACACATTTTAGGCGCGGCATATCTTACCTTTTACCCTCTTGATTATTCTCTTGGTGTCGATAAATTCCTTGCCTCTAAGAGGATGAAACCATGGGAAAAGGACTGACAGAAGCCATGTAAAAGTGGGATGTCCAGATAAGGGAATGAAGGTGGAATTATGGGTTGCCGTCCAAAGAATGGAACCCAATCTTTGACATCTTGTCAAGTGAAACTGGAGCTCGGACCCGCCCAGCTGTCTGTTGGAAATAGTTCGAACGATGGGACCGGCCTCAGATTTACGGCACAAATAAATCAATAATCCGCAATCTAATAATCTATTAATTTCAAATGAATTCACGTGTGCTTTTCATTTAAGGCTTTTGATCGCACACAGTATGGTCGAATAATGTCCATGAGGATCTTCTGCTAAAGCTGATTTAAATCGGACCGAATTTAACAGCTCAGAAACATTTTATTCGGGATTAAATCAAAAAGAAAGTGTAACATTTATGGGAGGCGACAGGAGGTTGACCTTTTCCACTGATCGTGGGGGTCCCACATTTGTGCCTGGAGACGACTAATCTCCTCTCTCAGCAGCTGAAAACAGATGATTGGCATAAATCTATGTTTGGAGGCCTTCTCACTTATCATGAGGGAAGCAGATTCAAGACCGGGGCTCAGATTTCAGTCCAAAGTCTCTGACTAATTATAAACTTAAGACGTTTGAAAGTCCTAATTCAACTTCTAACAATTAAAAAAATCAACCGAACATTTAAAAATCCTTCATCAGCAATACAACAAGTTGAGGTCAGGATTTATTTTCGTGGTTAAATGATGAACTCTTAATGTGGAGATAGGGTGGGGCACGGGCAGGGTGGGGCCAGAAGCACATATCTAAGACATCTGCAACTTAATCCTCTGCTATTAATACACCGGACTGGACGGCTACTTCTTGCAGCCAGACTTGAAGATCTTCTCTTTTATCTTGATTTCAGGCTTCAAAGTCCACTACCACCATGTCTGACGCAGATGAAGTGTAAGTGTATTCACATTTTTAAACGTTTAGTGAGCAGTTTGACAAAAGCAAACCAACTTCAATGAGGAATTTGGATTGTTTTCATGCAACTATTCAATGCAAACTATTTGGAAAGCAATCATAAAAAGACTGGGTAAAGAGCATTTTGTGTCATGCACAAACTCTGGTTGTAATTGTTGATAATTATCAGAATTATAATGATTATTTTCTTCTTCTCTGTTGCAGTGATCAGGTCGAGGGTAAGTAACGTCATCCTCCCTGTTTTCAAAGATCTAATCACTCAATCCAGGTGCGGTCGGAAGGCCCATGCTAAATCCAAGGATTATTTCTGACAGACTTTCCATCCTGTGTAGAAAGTTATTTGTACTGGACAAAATTTGTATGTTTGCAGGTTTGGCTTGACTCCTCCAGATTCATGCCGTGCAACAACGCTCTTTTTTATTTGATTTTTAAAGCATATTCTCACATATTATTGTGTCTTGCTAGCATGAATGCTGGCCCACCACTGGCTACAGGACAGTCCCATACTGTGCGAGCACAATATCTCACTGACCTGTTAGCAGCTCTGCATGACCCGTGCAGCCCCCATTTGATCTGATAAGGACTATCAGGAGAAAAAAACGATAAAAAAACGATAAACTTTTTAATTTCCTGAGAGTTCTGATCGGCCAATGGGGGCTGCTCTGTGTATGCTAAGCATGGATCCCCGATTTGTACCCACGTTTTGTATATTTCTTGTATTATTCCAAAAAATGGGTGCAAACGGGATCTTTTGATGATGTTCTTCTGCTCCTTTCTTTCTCGGATGGACATGAAGAATACGATGGTAAGACACAGCCGGTGGACCTTCTTCCACTGATACTAATGTTCCTTCCCAGGACGTGTGTTTCTTGTATTTTAGAAGGCATGCCGGATAACACTAATGCTATCTGTAGTTAGATTAAAGACGCAGATTTAAAAAAAAAAAAAACTTGGATTGTGGCAGGTCAAGATCTGTCTCCCTTTGTTATTGACTATAACTGAGTTGCGATTCAGCTGTTTTTCCAGAAACAATCACATGTCATCCATTAAATGACTGACTTTTTCCCCTTTTTCTGTAACTGCCTGCTTTAGTGCCGTTTGGTGGGAGATCCACCAAACAGCACCATCATGTACATCCTCATTTCTCACATATCCCCCCCAACCCTCAGCGTAACCTTTTTCACTTTTCCCTCTTCCCTTGCTTCTATTAACCCTCTCATCGCCCCTCCTCCTCCCTCCCACTCGCTGCATGGCGTTTAGCCGTAGAAGAGGAGGTAGTAGAGGAAGTAGAGGTGGCCCCTGAGGCCGCCCCTGAGCCAGAGCCAGAGCCTGAGCCAGAACCAGAACCAGAGCCAGAGCCAGTGGTAGAGCCAGAGCCAGAGCCTGAGCCAGAACCAGAGCCTGAGCCTGAGCCCGAAGGTATGTCGCAAGAAAGGGGGGAGGGGGCTATTCTATCATCCTTTCACCAGGCATCAGGTGCACTCCACTGACCAAAGCCAGAAAGACAGAGCCCACTCATCCTGTTTCTAGAATGTTCCGCATTTTCCAATGTGTCTCCTCATGGTACCTTCCTCTCATCCTTAGTCAGAGTCACACACTTTATTTTAAAGAAATAATCAACGTTTTATCGTAGGATTTCTGAGGCTGGTTCACTTTTTTCTCATTTTAAAGCGACAACATTTCAGATGTTTTAGCAGTTATGGTACTAAACTTCTACATATACCACCTGTACTTTAAGTACCTACTCTAAAATGCTTTCTTTTAGTTTGAAAATTCATATATCTGGCTGTTTTTTTCAGGGGAAAGCACTGATTACCAAGCATGCAAATAAAGATGTTAATATAACAAGGGGGAAAAAAGGGATATGCTTTTCAGATTGTGCCCCTTTGTTGTCTGACATCATGCTTCTGCTCTATCTATCTATCTATCTATCTATCTATCTATCTATCTATCTATCTATCTATCTATCTATCTATCTATCTATCTATCTATCTATCTATCTATCTATCTAGCTAGCTAGCTAGCTAGCTAGCTAGCTATTTAGCTAGCTATCTAGATAGCTATATAGCTAGCTAGCTAGATAGCTATCTTGCTGAACCATTAGGAGCTATAAGTAATTAGTACTATTATTTTCAGTTCATTGTTGAAGCCAAAAATAAGGATTTTTGAAAATGTTTGAGAATTCTTATAAGCCATGCTAAAGCACGCCCTAGTCTTAACCAGTCAGCATTTAGGTTGCTAACAATATTATACATTTTTGCTTTTAATTACCCAACATGCGGAGGCAATCTAAGAGGAAGGTATTTTGAACCTCTAAAACGTGATCAATCTGAAAACGGGTTATTCTGGTTTGGCCTGCAGTCTGTCCAAAATTCGACCTGTCAAAATCTAGCCGACCGCTGGCCGATATTTGGCTCTTTAAGAAAAATGTAGAGAGAAAACATTGACTGTGCAAGTGGAGGAAAAAGGGTGAAAGAATAAGAAAAAACGCTAACACTCGCTTCACCGTGCAGCCAAACCCACTGTGATGACTTTGCTCTGTGACTCATCATCTGCATGGTATGGGCCCGCCAGAATCTGGGTTACCAGGGGAAGAATTAACTTTATTTTTTTGTCCAATAGTGCTGGGGTCAAGCCAAAAAAAAAAGACGTGTTAAATCAACAATGAAATTGTTGAGGGACTGACTGAAGCATCACATTAACTATCCGAAATTAACCGCACTTCTCCCAGAAGTCCGACAAACTTTTGTCATAGCTATTTGTTTCTGTTTGCCATACATTCGTGTACATTTGTTCGTTTCTGCTTGGCTGTTGTAAGACTAACTTTAAAAACGGATTAAACTACTTTTCTTAAAGATCTCACATGTCCCGTTAAGTGAAAACCACTCAGCTTGATCCGTGTAATACCTGAAACAGTTGAATTAATCTGTTTTCTCTCTAACCCAATGACATGCACTCATCCCCTCTTCATTTTTTAACCTGCAGAGGAGAAGCCAAAGTTCAAGTAAGTTCCCCTTTTTTATGCAATCTGACTTCAGTTTGTTATTTTTTTATGGACAAACTGATGCCAGCTCGTTGTTAATGAACGTAACAGAATTGAAACAGACAAAAATAAGTCCCTGATGTGTGATGCATTCAAAACTTAAATATTTCCTCATAGGCCCAGTGCTCCAAAGATCCCAGATGGTGAGAAAGTGGACTTTGATGTAAGTAGATCTGAAGTTAGAGGATTTGCAGGATTTGTTTGTCTTCCTCTCTGAGCGCCACGCCCGTTTTTCCACTCTGTCTTACAGGACATCCAGAAAAAACGTCAGAACAAGGATCTGGTGGAGCTGCAAGGCCTGATCGATGCTCACTTTGAGTGCAGGAAGAAGGAGGAGGAGGAGCTGATCGCACTCAAGGAGAGGATTGTGAGTATTCGAATAGTTAAAGAACAGCAAAAGAAATGACCATACTTACTTGGATTAACTTGAGAACATAGGATGAATAATTATGATATGAAAATTGATGATAAAGCAAAAGATAAGAAAAAAAACTTCCCTTTAAAGCCCGATCCAACAAAAATAGGAAGAATGTTGGATTTTTTTAGTTTGAAGTCTTTCTTTGGCCCCTAAACAACATAGGAAGAAAAAAAAAACAGAAATTATTTTGATCAAATTAGCGTGCAATAAGTCAAAAATGTATTTTGGTGTAGTCTTCTACTGGCTGTTATCAGGTATATCTGAATGTGTACAACAGGGGTTTGAGCAAAGCTTTTACCACTGAATGATGCAAAAAGTCTCAGATCCAAAAGACTTCAGAAACCGTATGTATCAGACATGATACATTTGGCATTATAATTATTAGTTTGAAATCTTAATGTAAAAGATAAACTGACAGGAAATGGGCTTCCGGTTACACAAATCCTCTGTTTTTGGCATTTGAACATAACCAACAATCATTCAATCCCAACATTCATACAGTAGCGCCGTTCTACTTTTGGAGGTCTGTTTGAAATGTTTCACCATCATTCGTCCTCCAAAAATTAAACTTAATTATGCCATTACAAGACAAGGAATCTCTTAAAGTCATATCCGTTTATGAAGGATTAAACATACATTCTAAGAGTGGAGTGGAGCCACACAGTGATAAAAAAAAACACACAGAGAACACAAAACATGCAGAGTTACACAAGCTGAAACAGAAACTGAACCCAGGTCATGTGAGTCTTTGACTTAGTTACTTATTAACATCACAAAAGTCTGTTAGAGCCCAGTTGATATACTTAACTATGTCCAATAAATGTCATTTTTTATACTTTTGATCCACTCTGGTTGATTCTCAGGCTTCCAACTACAGAATCGGGCTAACATTAGTACACCAAAAAAGCAAAAACAAGGCTTAAAATGACCCAAAAAATACACCAAAATACAAAAACCAAGGCTAAATTGACCAAATATACACCAAAAAACAAAAACAAGACTTACAATTATCAAAAAATGCAGCGAAAAAAGCAAAAAATTGAGCTAAAAAGACCAGAACTTATACTTAACTGTGACCCAGAGAGAGGTTTTTGTCTGTATAAGTATAGATATACTTAACTGTGACCCAATAAATGTCATTTTTCATACTTTTGATCCACTCCGGTTTATTCTCAGGTTTCCAACTAAAGAATCGGGCTAACATTAGTACACCAAAAAAGCAAAAACAAGGCTTAAATGACCCAAAAAATACACCAAAATACAGAAACCAAGGCAAAATTGACCAAATATACACCAAAAAACAAAAACAAGACTTAACTGTG